AGATGTAAAGAGATTTTTAATCTGCCTGCTACCGTCACACATACAGTAAGTACATGACAACAACACTGACATTAGTAATAATGCTGTGTGCGAGCTAAATAACAGCTGAGACTGCGGATCAGCACCGAGAGCGAGAAGAACGACGTAGGAGACCATTATTATTACACGCGTGTGCACTGAAGCGGAAACCCCTCGTTAGTGTTAGCGGCGTGAAATGTTTATCCCCTCAAGGTGAAGACGCCGCGAGAAAACTACAACTCTATCTCCTCCTCATCTCAGAGCAGCTATGACAGCGCCGCGCCTGGAGCTACGCTATTTACAAACCACAACAAACAGCCAACTACCACCTTAACAAGCTCGAGGATCACATGACATCTGCCCCACGTTTCCTCCAGAAAAGTCAGGAAGGCAACCAGCTGATATACCCATCGAAGCAGTTTACAGTTCATCAGCTCTGTCCATGTGCAGCATGTCTTTAAGCTCTGTTTTTAAAATGAAGATTTCAGCGTGACGAGACAGTAAACTGACCTGCTGAAAAAGCCTCAAGCTGAGCATTTTCCTTGTTGCTATCAAGACGTTTCGACCAACAAGAGGATCTGATTGCATGTTATTGACTAACAACGTGACCTGAACTTGTTTTAATCACTCAGACGTGAGACGAGTGACCACAGAGTCAACAACAAAGTGTTTACTGAGGTCACAGCGAGGAGCATAAACGTCTGCACGAGTCAAACCCGGGCAGCCATCAGAAACGTTGCTTTCTTTTTACACAGAACAAGTGGACCATGACAAACAGGAAGTCACCTTTTTGGTCATCAAGAACTGACAAAGTCATCTGACCAAATATCAATAAGTAACCAAGTTAGCCTTCAGTTCATTGTACAGCCAGCTCTCTGCACGTCTGCGGTGATATCCCAACAGAAAAGCCGTCAAACTGTCGGTGCACAGCCGCTAAAGTCGGCTCACGTTCTGAACCTTAAAGTTTCTTGCACGCCTGTGAGAACACTGATCGTTTCTAACTCTTAGTGGAGCCGCCGTGTTTGCTTTTGCAGCATTTGTACATGGAAATGTCCAGTAACACCCAACCTAACAAACGGACGATGCCAGCACGCTTGACCCCGTCGTCCTCATTACTTTTCAGAGCTCAGCTTTTCAATTTTTCTCTTTTTTAAATTTCCCCCAGCCGAGGAGCTCTGTTCAAACCATCGAGCTGAGAAAGCACAAAGAGAAAAGACGAGTTTGGTCCTGGAGGCAATTTTCTTTGGATAGACGTTCGTGTTTCCGTTCAGCTACACGACCCTCCCAGCAGACTTTTTCTGCATGCTGTAAACAGGCTTAAAGGTAAAAAAGCAGCAGAATGTCTTGTTCTGCATTTATTGGACACCTTCGAGGAACAGATATGCACTTTTCCAACCTAGTCGAAATAGTGCTGCGGGGTATTGAACGCCATTGATTTGCGCTGAATGCTGCGTGTGCTGAATTGCTCTCGACAGCAGCGAGTAATTGCAAGGATATACGCCGCGAACACATTCAATTACTGCAGGACAGAGAGCTTTGTGGATGAGCCGACGAAGGCAGGGTAGAGAGAGGGGAAGCTTTTTAAATGTTTGGAGTCTCGAGTAGGTTTGTTGCACCGACTTGTGCAGGAATCACATCATTAAGTGTTTTAGGAACAAGATAAAACAGACATTGTGTTTGCCTGGGCTTAAAGCAGGGCTGTATAAATGTTCTGGATAAACAGTGACTCAGTCGGGATGTCCCAGCGGTGTTTTTTAGCTGGAGGTGCGAGGTCACGGACGGGGGACTCCAAAGCCCCTTTGGGGAGCAGAACGGCCTCCGCACGACCCATTATGAGTCATGTTAGGAGGGTTAATGGCATTTAAATGAGCAGCTTGTGTGTTTAAATAAAGCAGCCTTTATAGTTAGCACCGCAGCGCTGCTGGAGTGTTACATAACAGCACTCAAATCTGCTTCTTTGAGGGTACATCGCTGCCTTTGTGAGGCCAGATGGATAAAACTTTCCATCAAACAGCACAGACATCTTTATGTTGGCGTCCTGCTCCGCAGCTGTTAGAAACGTCCAAACTTACTCCCTAAAATCTTTCATTTCAAAAGGATTAAAGTGGAAACAGATTGGATGTAGATTTCAGTCTGTGCTAACAAATCTTAATGTTCCCAAACACATATCGTATAACTTCCCACTTTAAATGCATCCATATAACTTCATATTGTGACAGATGACTGAGCATATTTGCACAAAACACGTAAAGATGTTTAAAACCATAAAACCTGCCAAGACAAAGAGGAATATTGGCACTTTTTCACACCACACTGCAGCCTCCACAGTGAAATCTTGTCAAATCAAATTTATCGAGTTAGTGGTGCTCGCTGGACGTGACAGAGGGCTTCGTACAGATGGATTTAAATCCTAAAAAAAAAAGACGGGAGAGGAGCCCTGATGGATTCAGGAGGAGGTCAAGGGGGAAACGATTAGAAGGACAAAGAGACGAGAGGCCAGACGGATGAGGAGAATTACAGCAGGACGGCGAGAAAAGACAGTCGGATTAAAGCGAGGGATGCGAAGGGCATGTAGCCCCTATTAGAGCTTTGTGAACAGAAGTACTTCATTAAGCTTGGTCAATGTCGCGGCGCCGCAGCCGGCATACTAATGCAGACCCAGGCTCTCCAGCTCCCTGCAGTCAAACCTCTCCTTTAACTTTGTGTTTCCTCCCTTCTTCACTGTAATTAGTCTTTCATTAATGACATTTATAGACAACTGAAAATATGCTTTGGAAGAAACATCTCTGCAAATTTAGTAAAGTTTCCACCAAATCATTTTTCCATCGTGTTAATAAGACTGAAGGTTGTATCTGGTTTAACGCCATCCTGCAGAAATGCTCATGCTCAGTCTCTCCTTATGTTGAACTGACGAGGATACTAAGGCTACGTTCACACTGCAGG